ACGCCCGTCGCAGATAGTTACCCTCCCAAGCATGCGTATTCTGCTAACGCTCTTGTGACGGAACCCACGACTCGCAATCGTACAGTACTGACCTATTCCTTTCCGACTGGCACTCGGGTTGTAGGGGCGTCGGCCCGCGGGAAGCTCCTGGCTTGGGGTCTATGGGCCCGTTTGGGTCCACATGCCTCAGATCAGACATCGCAATGGAGTTTCGAGATTGGCGGCCGCAGGAGTGAACTTCGACGTGCAGATCACCATGTATATGAACTGCGCTAATGTCGTTTTTGTGGGCTCCATATGATAGGGTGTCTGGCCACAGGCCCTACGCGGGTTCCATCTTGGAGGGTTTTCTCTGGAGCTGGCAAACTCCAGGGGATTGTCAATGTGGCGGCTCGCAAGGAGTTGCGCGAGCAGGGTATCTCTGCGGAGGAGGCCGTCTGCCGTAGAGGTAACCATTATTTTGATAAATACAGGCGGGCGGGGAGCGAGTTCGTACCCGCTGATGCATTGCAGTGTGTTGGCGATGCCTTGAACGTTGCCAAGCTGCTTCCGAGGTGGCCGCGGCTGACACTACGTAAATGGAGTAGAATGATTCGCCCTCCAATGTCGGGGCAAACATAGAAGACCCGGTTTTTTGCTCGGCCGTGACAGGCGTGGCTGCGTGGGGGGAGGGGGATGTTCCACTCCCGCATGGCTCGTGGTTGGCCCTTCCCCATCTCAATACCTGGCAACTCTCTCAGACCGGTCAACGGTTATCGGTTTTGTGCATATGCCTCATCTGCCACTTGCACAGCGCAGGAGGTACAGCGATGAAATTGGGTCCGGCCCACAATCAAGAGGGGGGCAAGGAGGACGACTTCCACCTCCCCACCTCTCCTCGTCCTTCCCTCATCTTCACGGTGCTCCTCCTCTTGTCCTTCTTCCTCATTCCTCTCTGCTCCTCCTCCTCCTCTTCCACTTGCTCTCCCATGTCATCCATCTCCCCATGTGCCACACCCGTCGATGCCCACCCTCCCTCGCCCGCCCCTGTTTCCTCGTCCCCTTATCAGCCAAACCATCCACATTATGTGTTTTCCTTTTCCTCCTTCTCCAACGGATTGCGTATTATTGTTCTTCCGCCTGCTCCTCCAGCAAAACTGCTTTGCGCTTCCTCCTCCTCCCGCGTCGATTCGTTGTGTCGGGCCGAAGGTTCCCAACCGCGGTTGGTCACTAAGAACCCCCTTGGGTTCATCGCAAGCACCGCTTGCGAAAACACCCCGAGGCCCCAGCATGACAGGGCGATAGATTTAGCACCGCACCTTAAAGAAACAACAACAAACAATCGGGAGGGACACGCGGGGCGAAAAAGAGAAGCGCTGAGAACGGTTCGGGGGGAAACAGACGGAACAAGTGCGCCTGGGTGCGAGCGCGTCTAGGCGCGAGTGTCAGTGCATGTGAAAAGCAATGTCAGAGTGCGCGCGACTGTTGCTGATTGCGTCTGAGTGCGAGCGAGTATGCGCGCGTCTGGTTTTAACTATGGTAGGGTGCCTGTGTGGGGCCTGGTGCGAATGTGTCTGAGAGGGCCCAGTCCGGGTTGAGTGGGTCTGCAGGACCGGATCGATGTTTTCACCGAGTACTGAAAGCTGAGTGCTGACCCCGCGCGGAAGCTGCGCCCTCCTCTATGTTCCCAGCTCGCACTGCGGCGGCGAGATCGCTCGAGGCTGAGCTGGGTGCGCAAAGCCTGCTGCGCTAAGAGTTGACTCGAGGTGTCAGAGGTGGACTTTGCCCTCCAGCCCCCCCTGAGGCGTGGCTATGAACGGCGACGCAGGCCTGCGCTGAACAACAAAAAAAAAACCTGCGCCGAGAACTGGCCGTCGAACAAGTCCTGCAAATGGCCGAGCGCAGGAACTGAGCACTGTCTCCCACTGAGAAAGATCCCTGAGCCCGTAAATAAAAAAAAACCCTGGCTCTGGGAGAACAAGGCCCGATGCTACCCCTTGCTGTCCGCCCCAACGCCCCGGCCTCGCTCGCACTCTGACTCACCCTTGCCCCCCCCCCGAGGCTCTGCGCGGACAGCCCAGCGGGGCCCGAGTGGCCCTGGCGATCTCCGGCAACCCTGAGGTCAGGCTCAGTTCGCGCCCCGATGGGCGACGAAGTCGATCTGCTGCTTGACTGGGGACTGCGCGGCCGCGTGGAGCGCCCGGCGCCGCTGCGTCGCCGGCTGCTGCCCGAGGGCGCGGATCGTCGGCGCGTCAGCACCTGGCTCCTGGATCGCGAAGTTGATGATGGCAGGGAGTTGGGCCGACGCAGCCGACGCCCTCGAGCGGCGAAAGAAGTTGCGGGCGCGCTTCGCGCGCGGCTGAAATATCTGCCTGGGTGCGCATGAGGGGCCCGGGTCGGGTCCCACTCCGCGATTGCCTGCTGCATCTGCCGACTCAATTCGTAAGGGCTAAATTCGGCGAGCATGAGCCGCAATTCGACGATGCTGAGCCGCTGGCTGATCCCTGACCCCATCTGAGCATCGCGATGCCGGGCGTCCTGCGTTGCCTGCGCCTTGAGGATGTAGGCGATGGTCCCAAGGGGGCCGGCCTGGAGGCAACCGACGCAGAGCTGCGCGCGGCCCCGGCCCCGAGCCCAGCACAGGCTAAAGGGCACCTCCGCGGCCGCGACAGCGAGCGAGGGGGCGGGCGTCGCCGCGGGTCTGCGAAGCCTGAATTCTGCAGGTCTGCGAAGCCTGAAGCAGGAAGCTTGGGCCTGCGCCGCTGCTGCCCTCTTGTTTCGCCCCCACAGGGCGCCTTTCTGAGGGGGGCGCCTTTCCGAAAGGAGACCTTTCTAAGTGGGGGTTCTCTGAGAGGCGTTTCCTTCTGTGCCGTTGCCGTGCTGCGCTGCTACATTGCGTCGCTGCGCGCTGAGGTTGCGCCGCGGTGTTGCTGCTGCGCCGCGGCTCTGCGTTTCCTTTCCAGAACCATGCCTCCGCCTGCAGCGCCCCAGCGCAAAGCTCCTGATGGGGGCCCCCGGGGGCGCCCCCCACCGGGGGGGGGGGCGCGCGCCTTGCGCGACCGCGAGCCCCATGGGAAGGGGCCACTAGGGAGACTTGAAAAGGCCCGAAAAAACTTCGAGGGCGCGTTGCGGCGCTGCTGCTGCGCCGCGGTTCTGCGCCCCCTTCTCAAAACCACGCCTTCGCCCGCAGCCCCCTTGCGCGAAGTTCCTGAGAGGACCTCTGGAAGGGGCGTGCCATGGGGAAGATGCGCCCTGCAGGGCCGAGAGCCCGTGTGGGGGGCGGAGCGCAACGGTAACCTGCGAAGGCCTGAGAAAGACTTCGAGACATTTCCAGGAGGGTTCACTCGAGGTTTCAATGCCTCTGCGTGGTTTCTGTAAGACTAGATTAGAATGGAAAATCATGACATAGATAACGCAGCCACTGGGGCCTTCGGTGGAGCTCCCCATGGGGCCACGAAGCGCGTGAGGTGTGTGCCGAAATGAGTGCGGCGGGCGCATGCTAACGCAGCCACTGGGGCCTTCGGTTGAGTTCCCTATGGGGCCACGAAGCGCGTGAGGGGTGTGCCGACATGGGTTCGGCGGGCGCATGCTAACGCAGCCACTGGGGCCTTCGGTGGGGCTCCCTATGGGGCCACGAAAATCGCGAGAAGTGTGCCGAAAGGGGTGCGGTGGGCGATGATGATGATGATGATGATGATGATGATGATGATGATGATGATGGGGGTGATGACGATGATGACGATGATGATGAAGGACGTGACGACTATGACGAGAATGATGGTGATGACGATGATGATGACGATGATGATGGTGGGAGGAGGGAGGAGGGGGAGGAGGAGAGGAGGAAAGAGGGAACGCGGGGCACCGTCCCTTCAAAACGAGGACCCAACGCCACAGGATGATTGGGAAAAAAGAGGGAATATGTGAGATGCGCAATAAAAAATAGCCGGACGAAGGACCCAACCATGTGCAAGCGTAAGAACCGAAAATTGTGATCACTTTTTCGGTGGTGATCCCTAGAAGGCAACGAACCGCGCTAGGGGCGTGCCGACATGAATGGCGCGGTACACAACGCGAACGAAAACGATTGATCTGAGTACGTGGGGAGACTGGGCGCGGGCGAATCTGAGCGCGAGTGCGTCTGACTGTGAATGAATCTGCGTGCGAGCGAGTCTACGTGCATGAAGGCGAGTATGACAGAGCATTGTCAAATTGTATATGAATGTCAATGGCTTGAGAATGACTGCCTCTGAATACTCGTGGCGCTGGGCGTGGCCGCCGCAAGGGGCCTCCCCGGGCCTCCCCGACGGCGTCGCCCGCGCGCCGCGACGCCAATGTTGGCGCGCCCCCCCGCGACGATCGCGCCCGCTTCCTCCCCTTCTTTTACTCCCTCTTTGCCCGCGCACTCAAAAGTCCAAGGCCGCGGGCGCAGCGCAGCGCGGAGCCCCCGTGACGCGCGCAGGTCGCGCCGGAAGGGCCCCAGCGATGCGCGCGGGACGTCCGTTGCGCGGAGAAAAGAGCTAGCTGGCTGGCCGATAGCGTCTGCTTGCAAGTATGCACGTTCTGTGGGGCCGAGGCCTCGGCAAAGCAACTGCGCGGCTGAAACCCTCGAGGGCCTGACAGGGGAAGCCATGGAGTGCCCTCTTGAGCCCTCTTGAGCCCTCCTGCGGCAGGAACGCTGTCTGGCTGGGTGAGCTGCGTGGTAGGGTAGTGCCTCGTTCACCTGAGCTGTCTGGTAGGGCTGGTAGGGCGAGCTGCCTGGGGGTGAGTTGTCTGGTGGGGCGGGCTGACTGGCGGGGTAGCTTGGCTGTCTAGTGGGCATGGCAAAGCGGATTTCCCGAGGGTGGGCTGTCTGGCAAGGTGAGCCGTCTGGCAGGGGAGCTCAATACCTCATCTGTCTGGTAAGGTCGGCTGATGGCGACGATCAGTTGTTTTGCCTGGCGCTGGCGGCCCGCCCATGAAGGGGGCCCTGATAGTCCGCTGGAGCTGCGCTGCCGTCGGGCGCCAGCCCGCTGAGCGACCTCGTCGACGACGGGGTCCCAGAACTGAGCGCCCTCATCCTGGCGCGCCTGCCGCGCCGCCTTGACCTCTGGCGCGCCTGAATCGGGGTCGCGCGCACCCCTGAAGTGCTCGTTCGCGACCCCCTGACTCCCCCGCGCCGCCCCTTCGGCCAGAGCGCCCAAACTCCGCGCCTCGGCCACTGCGGCCCGCAGCGCCTCGATCTTGCCCCCGAGGGCGCGCGCGCCCATGTCGACGTCGGCGGCTGTGGCCCGAGTGCGCTCGGGCGCTTGAAAGACCGCGAGCTGCTCGCCGAGCTCGCCGATGCGGACCTGGGGCCCATCATCTCCTTCTGAGGGCCCCCCCCGTCCGCGGGAGCGCGAGCGTTCGCGCTCCTGCTTTCTCCTGCAGCATCTGACGCCGATCGAGGCTGCGAGGCGGATTGACTTGCGCGCGGGCTGCGGGCCCTGGAATCACGCCCATTATAATGAGCTCACTGGACTGCGAGGCCTGCTTGAGCCCAATTGGCTTCAACCACCGCGGGTGCGGATTAATGGGGGGGGGGGGGGGGGGGGGGGGGGGGCTGTCTGGTAGGGTGAGCTGCCTGGTAGGTGTGCTTGACCTAAGCTGTCTGGCAAGGTGGGCTGCTGCGCGGGGTCGCGCCTCGATCGCGTGAGCTGCATGGTAGGTCTGGTAGGGCGAACTGCCTCAGGGCGAGCTGTCTGGCAAGGTTGGTCTGGTAGGTATGGTAGGGTGGTGGTCTGGCAGGGCGACTTGACCTGTCTGGTAGGAATTCCCCAGGACCCTGAAGACCCCCTAGGGAATCCAAAGAAAATCTGACAGAGAGTCTTCAAGAATCTACTTGGTCGCTGTGTGGGCGCACTCGGGGCACCAGAATGACGAACTAGATCGCGGTGTTTCGGGGCGCCAGAACGACGAACTAGATTATAGTTCGCCGTTCTGGGGACATGCAGACGGCGAGCTAACGTCAATGAAAAGCTGTCTGGTAGGATAAGCTGCCTGGTAGCGCACCTGACCCAGGCTGGCTGGCATGGCGGGCTGCCGCGTAGGGTCGCGTGAGCTGTCTGTTAGGTCTGGTAGGGCGAGCTGCCTCGGGGTGAGCAATGGGCCCGGTAGGTCCGGTAGGGTGGTTCGTCGCAGCTGACGGCGGCTACGCAAGTGTAGAAGCGACGGCCGATCGAGCATTGCAGACCGCTGTCTTCTCGGGGCGCACGTTAGCACCGATCGCGCGCGCGCTCGAATCGGCGGAGTGGCCGACCCCGCGTTGGTTGATGTAGATGTAGACCAGCTGCATAGGAGGCGCGCCCCCAGAGACACAGATCCTGGCGTTGAGGAATCCACGCGCACTCGGGGGCGCGCGCGAACAACTCTGGCGCGAACGTCACAGCGCGACAACCGCCCAATTGCGAATTGACCGATGCAGAGACATCGCGGCTCTGAGCGCTGGGCGAGGTCGCCAGAGGCCGCCCCCCTTGGACGGCCGTCCGCGGACCACCCCAGCTAGGTACGGTTGCCCCCATAAAACCCAAAACCATACCCGTACCTAGCCGGGGTGTCGCAGCTCCACCCCAGCTAGGTCCGGGGATGTTTCGGTGGTTTCAGGCAGGTCCCCGTGCCTAGCCGAGGTGGCGGCAGGCCCAAAACGCCCTCGAGCACATCACATGCCCTCCAGAGCCGCCCCCAACGTGGCCGCTGCGGCCCCCTGGGGGCGCGACATTGCAACGTCGTTCATCAGGGCGTGCCCAGACGCATTGGTTGCCAGGATGATGGCGAGGAATCACATCTTGTTATCAATTGTGACAGGCGCCACCACATATGGGCGGCTTTGAGCCGCGCGCGCACCACGATGCCCCGAGACGTCCCTGACAAAAACCAGCGCTTGTCGCTGCAATCAGGCACCCAAGCATCGAGCGCGCCGTTGCGTCTTGAAACGCGGATGCTGCACTGGCGCGCGCGGGGCAAGCTGCCCGGGCACACTGGCAAACGCCCAGTCCCCCCCCGGACGGCGCATCTCACCTTGGCTGGCCCCAGGTACGGGTATCTTTCGGACCAATGAGGTCTGGCAGGGTGACCTGAGCTGTCCGGTGAGTTTTTTTTTGTTGACGGCGGGCCCCGGCGAATGCAACGTCTGATCCGAAAAACCCCGTCCTGATAGCAAACCCACAGAACGGGTCGGATCAGGCAGCTGAGTTAATTAATTAAAGCGGCCTCACGCGGTTCAGTTCCGCGCGCCAGACCTGAACGCTTGTCTCCCAGCGGCGCCTGGTAACATCCCGCGCGGATGGGTCTGGCGTCTTAGGACGGGGCTCCCCTGAGGCCACGACGAGGCAATGCTGATTCGTCCGCTTGACCGCGCTCGCGCCCTCTGTCCTGTGCTCGAACCGCCTCATCCAGTCCTCCTCTGTGTGCTGGGCCTCAATCTCTCTGAGCTTCGCAGGCTCATGACAGGCAGGGGCAGGCGCCTGAGCTCCCCGTCATCATCTCCTGCGTCGCGGAGGCGACTCCTGTGTCGACCCCTGCGTCGTGGAGGCGACTCCTGACGGGCCAGGTGCTGACAATGGTTCCCTGCAAAGCTCGCTAAAGGCAACCATCCTGAACTCCTCGACGTCCGTCTGGAGCCACGGGCGCTGGACCTTCTTCGGAAGCACCTCTGTCGGATCCGTGACAGGGGAAACCACTGCGGAGCGGAAGCCTCGGTTCAAAACTGAACGCGCCTGAACCCTCTTGAGCCAGAACGGCTACGGAGGCAGCGGAAGGAAAGCTGCCTTGTCCAAGGATGGGGCCAAAAGGGCAACTTGAGGAGGCCCCACGAGATTCCGAGGAGCCCAGTGGGGGAGATGCGCCTTGACGGCCGAGAGCCCAAGGAGGGAGCCACCTCGTCTTCACCTCTTGCTCACCCTCAGCACCCTGGACTTCAGCCCCCCAGGCCCACCCTCAGCCAGCCCCCCAGGCTCACCCTCAGGGTGCCGGAATGACGCATCCAGGGGGCCGAGGGCGTTATCGCTTTGCCGGAGGAGGGGGGGGTCTTAACGACCAATCGCGAGTATGCCTTCGCCTTTCCCTTGTTTTGACATTGTTTCGTGTTTCTCCTTTCTCGATCTCCGCCTCTTTCCCTACTCCCCCTGCGCCTCGTCGGGTGGCCGGGGCTTCGCTCGCCACCTGTTTTCTGGCCCTCGGGTAGTTTCTATTGGATGCTGCTTTCGATGCCGCTAGCGCATGGAGGCCGCGCGCCAAAATACTGTACCAATCGTCGTCCTATTCCTCCTCCTCCTCCTCCTCTTCCTCCTCCTCCTCCGCCCTTTCTCTCGCTTTGCCATCCTCGCATCCCTCTCCCTGCCTCCACCTCCCCCCCTTCCTTCCTCCTCCTCCCCGTCCCTTCCTGCCTCTCCTCCTCCTCCTCCACCCCCTCCCCCCTTCACCTGCTGCCCGCCCCCCCCCCCCTCCTCTTGCCCCCCCTCTGCTCCCCTCCTGCTCTCGCCTCCTCGTCCGGCCCGCCTCCTCATCCGACCCGCCTCCTCGCCAGGCCTCCCGGCTCCTTCTCCTCCTCCTCCTCCTCCGCCGCCTCGCCCGGCCCGCCCTGTCGGAGAACGCGAACGCGCTGGAGGCCGCCCGCCGGTGCTGGCGGTCCGCGCGGGCTGCCGGGGAGCTCGCCCGGGCGGCCCGCCCGGGCGGCGCGCAGCCAAGGGAGGGCCCGTCGCAGCCGGCGGCCTCCAGGGAAGGAAGTAGGAGGAATGAGGAGGAAGGAGGAGGAGGAGGAGGAGGAGGAGGAGGAGGAGGAGGAGGACGGGTCGTCGAAGCCTGGGGGAGGGGACACTCAAGCAGCGGAGAGGGAGGATGAAGGACACGAGCGGGAGGGGAAGGAGCAGGAGGGAAGAAACGGGAGGACGGAAGAGGGAGCAGAGGAAGGAAGGGGGAGCCTCGACGGGAGAGGGCGAGGAGGGAGACGCGGCGGGAGGAGGAGTGATGGGGGAGGAGGGAGGAGGAGAACACGGGCAGTGTTCCGATACCAGAGTTATGCATATCCACCGCCTGGGGACCCGATGTTCAAGGACCCCACGAAGCACTGGATCGTGCTATATTCGGGCAGTTGGGGGAGGAGGCGAATAGATCTGCATCCAAACTTCTGGGATCATTGGACACCAATTCCCCGAGCGGCGAATACGTGCACACTCGAGCCTCGGATCTGTGACTGGCAGCCCAATGAGGCATCAAACAAATACGATGACATATTGCAATCGCGCGGGAGCAGGCCCAACGCGTTCGTCCTACTGGCGGCTGGGTGCCCCAGACAGACGCGCGCATGTTGATGCCGGCACCACTGGAACCGATTCGCGTTGTGTGACTGCGCGAACTTCGCGCCCCACTGGTGTTGGCGATGACCCGCCCGATGGGGTCCTTCCACAGGAAGCCGCGCGCATGCTTTTGAGAACAGGCAGTGGTCCATGATTTCCAGCGCGGCGCGCGGCATGGGCGTTCCGGCGCCTGGCCCAGGCCCCCGCCACGTTGCCAGCACGGCTCCACCTTCATCCGGCTGAAACGACTTGGTCTGGGGCGCCGAAAATCCGTGTAGGGCCCAAAGGGGTCCACAAAGAGCAGCCCGCGGCGCGAGATCCATGCGCACGCTTGGGCCGAGAGCAGCCCAGCGCACTGAGCAGAAATCAATACGTACCCCGTCAGTTTGGCCGAGTCAGCGGCCTGGCCTGCCCTGGGAGAGCAGACAATCCGCCCCCTCGGCCCTGCGTGCACCGACGGTCTGGGAATGAAGACCCTGACATAACAAACCCTCTTTCGGCGATTTCAGCATTCTCGCCGTTTCGGGATTCCGGCGCTCCAAGACGGCCCCATAGGCCCCCAAGATCGCCCCACGACAGCCCAAGAGGCCCCAGACGGCCCTATAGCGCCCAAAGAGGGACACAAAACTGCTCAGATAAGGCCCCAAGACGGCCTCCGAAGACCAAGGGGTCCCATTGAGGCCACCAGAGGCCCCCACGAGGCCCCCAGGAGGGCATTTTGGCATTCGCAACGATAACGGGCATTGTGGGGGTAGGGGGGGGCGGGGGGGGAGCCCAACATGACGCCCCCGCCCCCCACCGTGACAGACTGTGGTGCCGAACGCACTGCGGAAGTTCGGGGGGCGCCATTGAAGGGCGGGGGAGCGTTACGATTGGGGGGGAGGGGGAGGGGAGGGGCATAAACCGCGTTGGAGGTCACCAAGAAGCTTCAGCAGGCCCCCAAGAGAAGAGGCCCCTTAGAGGTCCCCAGGAGACTCCCAGGAAGCCCCCAAAGGCCCCAGGATGGCCTCAAGAGGCTTCCTCTTCTTCATCCTCCTCCTCCTGTCACTTCCTCTCCCACGTATTCTGCCAAAGGGTTCCACAACGACTGGGGGAGCACATAGTCCCAAAAAGCGTCACCAGGTGTCGGCCCAATGTTTGGCCGCATGAGCCTTTCCCAAAGGCAGGGGGCGGCGGTGATTCGCCGTAGGCGTCTTCGATCTTACTCCGAGAGAATGAGCGCGCAGGGAGCAGACAGAAACCGCACGCTCATTTTCAACAACTAGCGCACCGAAGGAAACCTAGATGTTCGCTGGCTGCAGAAGCGGCGCCCGTAAATGGCACGCAACACAGGAAAACGTGGCGCTGTCGAGAAGCCACCTCAGCAGGCCCACCTACTGGCCCGAAGAGCGCTCGGGATCTCACCACGGTCCGAAGAAGCCGTTGGCGTTCGCGAGCACCGAGCCGAAGAAGAGGATGGTGATCGAGATCACGTAGTTGTTCCCGTCCACGCCCCCCAGGCCCACGGGCGGCGGGGGCGTGGTCGTCACCGGCGGGCCGCCGAAAAAATGCATCTCCACGGCGGGCGCGCGCTGCATCGTCCGGAGGCCCGCTGAGGCCGGGGACGAGGCGCCGACGAAGGACAGCACGAGGGAGCCCACCGACAGAGCGGCGAGGGCGGCGACAGCGCAGGCGATCAGCAGGGACGCGGAGCGGGCCATTGCGGCAGATGCGCGCCGAGCGCGGCACGGGGCTCTGCTTCCAAGAGATCGCCTGGGAGATGCTTCGGCCAAAACGGCTGCGCACCGTTGACGAACGGTCGCCTGGCTGACCGGTAGTCCGCGGGTGGCCCGGGTAGCGACACGGAGCGGGCGAAGGACGGCCGTCACCACATCGGAACGCACCGACGACTCCGACTCAGCAAACTCCTCGGCGCAGCCTTACCCGAGACGAACTTGCTTACGTACCCACCTGCGGAAACAACGCCCTTTCCATGTACTCTCCTCTTAGGCATGACTCCTCTCAATACCACGTTACCCAGTTCGGGCTTGCCTAAAAAAATGGTCCCACATTTATCAAGGAAAGACGGCATGTTACATGAAGGAAGTTGGCGACCGCCTTGGGATATTTCTCGGCGCGGGCCCAGCACGCGCGCAAGTATTTGAATATGGTAATGTTTTTGGTTGCAACGCGTTGCATTGCACCCCACAGGCAATGCGCGGCCATGCACTTCGATTGCGTTGTATGACTTTGCTCGGTTGGGTTTTGCGTTACGCTGGCTGCATGTGCTTGCAATTCGTTGCTTGGCATTGCCCCGCAGGCAACCCTAATTCAAGACAGACTGCCCTGGACTGCCCTGGATCATCCCAAGAAGGCCCTAAGTCGGCCCCCAAGACGGCTTCCGACGTCGTCAGACGGGCCAGGAGCCCACCAAGACGGCCCAAGATGGCTCTAAGATGGCCTAAGCCGCCTCCAAGAGAGCCCCCAGGAAAGCTCGAAAAGGCCAACATCATTGATTATCCTTTGGTTGTTGAAGGATGTTGACATTTGCTTCTTTTTGGCCTTCCGACGGCCCGAGACGGCCCAAGAGCCCCCAAAGATCGCCCAAGAGGCCTCCAAGATGGCCACAGAGGGGCCCAGGAGGCCCCAAAGACGGCCCAACGACGGCCCAAGAGGTCCCCAAGATGCCCTAGACAGTTTCGAAGACGGCCCTCGAGCATTCCAAGAGGGCCCCGAGTCGGCCCAGAGAGGCCCCCAAGATGGCTTCCGACGGCGTCAGACGTGCCATGAGCCCACCAAGACGGCCGAAGATGGCCCTAAGATGGCCTAAGACGGCCCGAGAGGCCTCTAAGAGAGCCCCCAGGAAAGCTCGAAAAGGCCAACATCATTGATTATCCTTTGGTTGTTGAAGGATGTTGACATTTGCTTCTTTTCGGCCTTCCGACGGCCCGAGACGGCCCAAGAGCCCCCAAAGATCGCCCCAAGATCGCCCAAGAGTCCTCCAGGATGGCCCCAGAGCAGCCCAAGAGGCCTCCAAGGCGGGCCCAAGAGGGCCCCAAAACGGCCCAAGAGGCCCCCAAGACGCCCAAGGTGGCCTCCAAGCCGGCCCTGGAGCACCCCAAGAGGGCCCCAAGTCGGCCCAGAGTGGCCCACAAGGCGGTTTCCGACGGCGTCAGACGGGCTAAGAGCCCACCAAGATGGCCAAATAGGCCCCCGAGAAAATCCCGAAGGCCCCCAAGAGGCCTCCAAGAGGGCCCCCAAGATGCCTCCAAGAGGCTCCCAGGAAGCTCCCAGGAGGCTCCAAGAGTGTCCCCAGAGGCTCCCAAGATGCCCCCTCCTCCTCCTCCTCCTCCTCCTCCTCCTCCTCCTCCTCCTCCTTCTCCTCCACCTCCTCCTCAGCCTCCACCTCCTTTTCCGCCGCCTCCTGATATTCCCTGCCATCCTCCCCCACGTGTTCCCCGAAGGGTTTCCACACAGGCTGGGGAAACACATGGTCCGACAGCTTGGAAGAGCTCTTGCCACAACGCTCGGCCACATGGGCGATTCTAGAAGACAGGGGGCGGCGGTGATTCGCCGTAGGCGTCTTCGATCTTCCGAAAATGCGGACGTATCAGACAAGCATGCCTGGCGTGTTGAATGTCTGATTGTCTCGTGTTGGTTACAGGTCCCTGCCTGCCAATGGCCCAGCCCGCTAGCCACCGAGAGGGACCCCAAACTAAATCTCGCATTGCTCAACTTGCCCAAGACGGGCAGGATGGCCCAGGATGGTCTGGCAGATGCCTCCATATGGCCAACGATGGCCACGATAGCTCCAAGAGATCCCAAGATGACCTCTGGATGTCTGCACCCAAGACGGCCCAAGCTGCCCATGAAGCTCACATCATTGATTGTCCGTTCGTTGTTCGGTGATTGCAGCATTCTCGCCTTGTCGGGGGTTCCGACGCTCCAAGACGGCCCCGTAGGCCCCCAAGATCGCCCCAAGAGAGCCCAAGAGGCCCCAGACGGCCCTGCAGCGCCCAAAGAGGAACCCAAGACTACCCAGAGAAGGCCCCAAGACGGCCCCCGAAGACCAAGGGGCCCCATTGAAGCCACCGGCCCCCAGGAAGGTATTTTTGCATTCGCAGCGATAACAGACATTATGGGGGGGGCGGGGGGGGAACCCAACGTAACGCCCCCGCCCCCCACCGTGACAGACTGTGGTGCCGAACGCACTGCGGTAGTTCCGGGGGCGCCATTGAGGGGCGGGGGAGCGTTACGTTATGGGGGGGCAGGGGGGAGGGAAGGGGCATAACGCGCGTTGGAGGTCACCAAGAAGCTTCACGAGGCCCCCAGGAGAAGAGGCCCCTCAGAGGTCCCCAGGAGACTCCCAGGAAGCCCCCAGAAGGCCCCAGGATGGCCTCAAGAGGCCTTTTCCTCCTCTTCATCCTCCTCCTCCTGCCTCTTCCTCTCCCACGTATTCCCCTAAAGGGTTCCACAACGGCTGGGGGAGCGCGAGCACGTAGTCCAAAAAGAGTCACCAGGTTTCGGCCCAATGTTTGGCCGCATGGGCCTTTCCCAAAGGCAGGGGGCGGCGGTGATTCGCCGTAGGCGTCTTCGATGCTACTCCGAGAGAATGAGCGCGCAGGGAGCAGACAGAAACCGCACGCCCATTTTCAACCACTAGCGCACCGAAGGACATCTAGATGTTCGCTGGCTGCAGACGCGGCGCCCGTAAATGGCACGCAACACAGGAAAACGTGGCGCTGTCGAGAAGCCACCTCAGCAGGCCCACCTACTGGCCCGAAGAGCGCTCGGGATCTCACCACGGTCCGAAGAAGCCGTTGGCGTTCGCGAGCACCGAGCCGAAGAAGAGGATGGTGATCGAGATCACGTAGTTGTTCCCGTCCACGCCCCCCAGGCCCACGGGCGGCGGGGGCGTGGTCGTCACCGGCGGGCCGCCGAAAAAATGCATCTCCACGGCGGGCGCGCGCTGCATCGTCCGGAGGCCCGCTGAGGCCGGGGACGAGGCGCCGACGAAGGACAGCACGAGGGAGCCCACCGACAGAGCGGCGAAAGCGGCGACAGCGCAGGCGATCAGCAGGGACGCGGAGCGGGCCATTGCGGCAGATGCGCGCCGAGCGCGGCACGGGGCTCTGCTTCCAAGAGATCGCCTGGGAGATGCTTCGACCAAGACGGCTGCGCACCGTTGACGAACGGTCGCCCGGCTGACCGGTAGTCCGCGGGTGGCCCGGGTAGCGACACGGAGCGGGCGAAGGA